TATATGAGAGTATTATGGATATGTATCGTAGATAGGTAGCAATGGTACAGTAAACGATAAAGTACATCGTACAATGTATATTGAGTTAAGAATAAAATTGTTTCGAGTGAAGGCAACGTTACGGAACATGAGCTCATGCGTCGCGGCGGTGTGGTGTCACTTGATTACTCTATTCTTTCATTCTTTCACAATGTCACATAAGAATTAAATTTTTTTTTACCACTTAAAGATTAACTTCATATCTTTGTGCCACCATGTAATATCCTCTATATACTGTATGAAAATTTCTTATTCTTTTTTATAGCTCACTTGATGCGTCGACTTGGACTTCCTAATCAACCCAGGTTCTCCACACCACCGAGCAACTATCAAAACCCCAACATGCGTTCTCCTTACCCTGATAACAGATACATGAATCAACGGTACAACAACTACCCTAAACAGCACCAACAACAACAGCAGCAAAACCAGCATCAACCTACAGATCTGGAAAAAAAGATCCACAGTATTTTGACAGCTGATGAGAACTTGAATAATAAGGATCGCTATGCTGGGCTGATGACTAGAAAGGAAAAGGAATGGATTATCAAGATACAATTACTGCAGCTAACCAGCAGCAACCCAAACATGGATGATTATTATTTTCAGGTAAGATAGTTTCTAGCTGAATATGTTTCAGTGTATCCATCTGTGTGTTAGCTGTGCCCTGACTTTGATTAGTGCCGAGGTTGTTTCAGGTTTCAAACTGTGAGTTAGCAATGCCCTGACATTGATCAGCCCAGAGGTTGTTTCAGGGTTCTATCTGTGAGTTAGCAGTGCACTGACTTTGATTGAACAACCATGAGGTTGTTTCAGGGTTTGATCTGTGAGCTAGCCATGCCCTGACTTTGATCAGCCAAGAGGTTGTTTCAGGGTATGGATCAGCAAGTAGACCAACTGTTGGTCAGCTGTTGGTCAGACAAACAGGTGACAAATGGTCGTCAAACGTGCAACAGAGGGTCAACAGACAGTCGACAGGTGATTGTTTCAGTGTGTCAATCCGTGAGTGAGCGGGGCCCCTCTGGATACCAGCCTAGTTGCTGAATGGGCCACCGTGCCTAAATAAAGTTTACCTTAACCTTAACCTGAGCCATGCCAGTGTACATGTACCTTATCCTCCAGTGTTTGTATACCTTATCTTTCATAAAGCGTCTCTTAAAAGTGTAATCACCACCTATGACTCATAAGATGAATTCTGTTAAAAATAGACGCATGAAAGTAGGAAGCGAGCTAAAGAAAGAGCCAAACGAGGAGAAGGTGTAGAATTTCAGTACACTGGAGGACAGACTCAACAAATGGCCTTGCCTCAGTTTGATCGTGAGGAGAGACATTACAAACCATGTGAGTACATATACATTACATAACTTCCTGTGCTCTACTGATAAGTGGAGTGTTTAGTATAGAATTCATGTTAATGTTAGTTTAGTCTGTATACACCTGGTTGCGAGAGCGTTGTCATGCGATGTTGGAGCGTTGGTGATTTGGTGGGGGGGGGGGGGGGGGGGGGGGGGGAGTGAAAAAAAAGACAAAAGAAAAGTTCAGCTTCAGTGATCTTCTTTTGTTTTTTGTGTTTTAATGTAACTCCTATCCCGTTGGGTCACTGGTGTTCTATTTTCGTA